AAATAATAAATTATTTCTCCAATCATTATAATTTATAATTCACGAAAAATACTAAAAAAAAAGAAACACATAATAAAACTTGCAGTTCATTTTAACTTAGCTCTACTGTAGTTTTTCAGTATTAATTAATAAACATTGTCTGTGGGGGTTGCCCATAAAAAGCACAAAATTAAAATCTTAGCGATGCAAATTGTGTGCGCTGAGCCAAGGCAGCGAAGAAAACAAATGAAAAAGCTGTAAGAGTTCAGTACTAATTGAGGAAAGGATTCGCAATCTTGCCATGGCATATAGTTGTAAATAAATTAATGAGTTTTGCATCAGCTGGGGCAGAGCCGAAAAGAATTGTGTGTGCGTTTCTTGCGTAATTAGCATAATATGCAAATTATCACAATCTCTAAAGGAAGGCAAAAGACAAAGGACACTGACCAGACTGTTTGACTCAGGCTTAACGCCTTTCATTCAGATAAGACAACAAAAGGGCTGTGGGCGCAGGAAGTGAAAGGATTATGATTTTGGCCGATATGCCTGCTTAGGCTTTCTTCCATTCAGTTAACATGCGCCACGCTCCATTTACCCAAGGCAGAGAATGCCTTGCCCTCATAAGTATGCAATACTTTTGCTGTTTGCACAGCTGCGCAGCTAAGCAGGCCTTACAGCATTATGTTAAATGATTGTCTTGACGTAATTAAAACTTTTGTCAATGTTGACACTGCGGATACACACTTTGGTCTTTTGCAAATTGATGAGCCAGCTTTCAGCAAATAGCCAGAAGACTCCGCAGAGCTGCGTGTGAACCCTCAAAGTCAACGCAAAACGTTTGTGTTTAACTAAAAGACATTTCTTTCATTCCATTGCTCTTCTGCTCCGCTTTTTTGTGGCCGTAACAACTGCAATCGTCGCCTGCAGAATAGAATGAAAATGCCAAATTTCAATGTGCGCGCACACAGCCGGAAGAGCAAAAAAAAAAATAGAAGAGGGAGACTGGAAGTGGAACATTGGGTAAATGGAGCTGTGGCTTATGCCGGCATGCCGAATGGGCACGGGGGTTTGCACATGCAATCGACAGGCCACGTTGCGGCTGGTGCCAAGTTCGCTACACTCGCTAATTTGTAACTGTGCTGCGGTTGACTGCGAAATGGATACCTCCAGCCTGTCAGGATCAGTTACTGCGGCACGTACCACCAAGCAGCCAACTGAATCCAGTTGAAGCTGAGTAAGCGAAGGCTGGCATTATTATGCAAAACACACACAGGCCGCAGAGACAGCGAGCTGAAGGCACAATGCGGGCTGTGGGCGCTGGCTGATACTTTACTCTTGCTCTTGTAAATAATTCGTTTTATTTGGCACTCATCACGCGCGCTGATTGATTGATTGGTAGATTGATTGCCGCCAATGTCAGGCCTTCAATTAAATTAAAACATTTTCGTTTAAAACTTTTACTCACATATATGTATGCATATATATATATTACATATGTTAACAATTAAATGAACTTTTATTGCAAATACGAAATTGGCTTGCCATTTCAATAATTATGATTGATTTTTGTCGCGCGACGTGGCTTATTTGCCGTAAGTGGCTCTGATTACTGCTCAATTTGTGTGCAGCAAGAAAGTACATATGCGCCGTGCAATGGGGCGTATGCACAATACCAAAAAATCTAATTAGGAAATTCAACTGCCTGGCACGCCATGGCATTCTTTTCACAAATTCCAGCGTGGGGCGCACCGAATTCCATAGAATTTCAACAGGGCCTGGTGCAACACGGCGTATGCGCTATATGCAAACCAAAAGAACTGTGACTAATGAGGGTTGTTTAACTGAAGAGGTCGTATATATATAATAGGAGCTTTTGTCTGAAATGGGTAAAAAATAAGACAATTGAATAGAATAATATTGTTTGCTATGAAAAGATTTGATAATTATGTTGAGGTACTCTGCGTATACTTAATATGCTAGTTGAGTTTGTATAGAAATGAGAATGAATTTAATATGTTAAATTCAACGTCAGGCTATTTGAATAACAGTTAAAGGTATAGCATATAACTCAGCTGAAATCCCGTTTTAACTGCTTAAAGGACTCTTTTCGAATGGAATACAGCTGTCAGACTGTCAGCGCTATCAGTTGATGGAGAGAAAGACAATAAAGTTCAGCCGGCATTGGCAAACTTAATTTGTATATATTAAGTTATTTTTAAATTAATAGTTTAATTGATTTATACAACAACATCATTTACGGTTTACCAAATGGGATTGCTTGTCGTAGCCCGAGCGCAAATTTCTTCCATATAAAGCGCGCTGTGCCCGTCATGTAAATCATTGGCAATTTAATTGAAAAGATTAAATATTAAAAATATCAATATTTAATTGATTACAGCGCTGTCGCTGCCCCACTTGCTCCACCTCCTGCACTGCCCATGCCCCAGGCAACATCAGCACAGACGTCAGCTTAACTGTATTAATTTGATGTCCATTGCATGTTTACTTAAATTTTTGTATTTTTTTATTTATATTTTTTTTGCCAGCTTAATGAAGAGGCCTAGCAAATTTGTCCTACTTAAATGACAGACTATTATTAAATTAATTATAAAGAAATATATAAATAAAAAATAGTGATAAACGAACTCTGGGACGTTGCCTTCTGATCTACTAAATAGCATAAGCTCATGATGACAGTCATCAATTAATAAAGACTTTTTATAAATATGTGAGGTTAACTTTTTATCAAAATTCTAAAAAAAAAAATATTAAAAATAACAACAACATTTATTCCTAGAGTTCTTTATAAGTGTGTGAATCTAAGTTTTCATAAATAAACAAATAAATATTATAAGCAATAATAGTAATAAAATAAAGTTATGTTTATAAATATATGAGCCAACAATTGATTGCTTTTATTAATTTTAATTCATTAAATTCAGTATTCAAATTTTAAATAAATATTCATAATAAAATATTAACATTTTTTTTATAAATATTTTGATAAATATTAGATAAAAAATAATTTAAATAATAATAATAATAAAGAATGAGAATTTTCATTTCATAATTATGTGAGTTTACATTTTCATAAAATTCTAAATAAATATTTAAAATAATAATAATTTAATATGAAGTTTTTTTCTTAAAATTTGAATTAAATGAATAATAATTAATTATGATTTTCTGTTTCTTTTTTGCATGTGAGTTTAATTAATATCAATAATTAGTTGATATATTTTTTTTAAATTCTAAATAGTTTATAAATATGTTGTAAACATACTACCTTAACGCTTCGATAAACAATTAAATATTATTTTTTTGTTAGCTGTTTAACTTGTGGGGAGTATTCTAGGGCATATACTTCCCGCCCCCAATACCACAAACACAAACTTAACCAAAATAAATTATAAATATATATATATGTATATATCTATAATAGGGTATATACACTTCGTTAGGCATCGCTAATATTTACATATGTATATATTGTTTTTCTTTGAGCTTAAACTCTTGTGTTTTGTTTACCCCGGAAAAGAAAAGAAAACAAAAGAGGGAAACACAAAACCCAAAATCGAATAAAAAACAGAAAAAAGAGGCATAAAGAGTTGGCAAGTTGATGCGACAGGCAATTTGCTGAATTATTAAATACGCTTTTAGGGTAGGCAAAACAGAAAGTGGATCTGAGGGATAAGTGCAGCCGACATCACATACGACACATGCTGAAATTTTGATGAGGCCGCCGGCAGTTAATGTGCATGTCTTTTGATTAGATTTTATGTAAATGCTGTGGCCAGACAAACGGTGCATATAAAGCAGGCAATAGGCAGCCCAAAGACAGACGACTTGAGCGCGACTTACGCGAATGCCTACGACTGAGTTACATCGTAAAACAGCTAGCCAGAAATCAAATAAATATATAATCAAGCAACTGCCGCAAAAGTATGCCGCGCTTTTTAAAATTGCTATAAATGTGGCACGCGCTCAGTTGGGGCTAAAGTTGCGGCTGCGGCTGACTGATTGCGCGCGGCGTCTTTGCTAGCTACTTGTGCGCCAAGGTGAGCCAAATAAAATTGCCTAAAGACGACACAAATTCTGTTACAGTTGTCCCAAGTCGGCCTTGAGCAGCGAGTTGAAGGCGGTGCAGCCCGCACTTCCGGGAGCTGTGCGGTTTAATTAATTAAAGGCGTTAAGGCAAAATAAAGACTCGCACTTGGGGGAGCGACCACAGTTTTTGTTGCTTCCTGTGTGTACGTTCTGCAGATGACTCTGTCTGTGAGTGTGGGTGTGCCCTTAAGATCGTGTCTTATGGCTATTAGAGCTGTCATTGTTAATCCCAATTTGAGCATGGCATAAGACATGCAAATGATAATAATATACTATTTAATTATATGTAAGGGTACTCAGGGCAAATGATGGTGTTTTAGCAATTAGAACGGCCAATTGTCAATGCCAAATAATAAATTGAATGCTTGATCAGAAATGCTTGTGTAAAATACGAAAGAATTAACTGTCTTTTTTTACCTATTTATATAAATATAAATATTTGTGCATATATTTATTTGCCACAAATATTATCTGGAACTCAAACACTTATATCTTAAAAAAAAATCATTTTTTAAAAGCCAATTCTTATGTTAAACTCTGTTTGAATTGATGAGGAAACTATAAACTTACAACAGAATAACAACACCTTAAAAATTACTACATCAATTTAATATCATATTATTATTATTATATTACATATTAAATTTTGATCACATACTCTATAACCAATATTATATTTAAACATAATTCAGTACACTTACTCATGAGCAACTATTTACATCTCATCGAATATCAAACAGGTCTATTAACAAGCTTTCTTATCAGCACTTGAATGAAGTATCTAAAAATAAATCTTATCAAATAGTCTACATTTAACACACATCATCTCGGCATCCCATTGAAGTTCAACAAATTTATCTTAAAATAAATATTTACGGCATTTCACTTTGGAAATGCCTCGTTTGATTGCTTACCTGATTTTCAATTAAACACATTTGGCAGCCCGCGGCAGCTTTGTAATTTGGCTTTGACATGAACTTTTAGACAAACATTTTGGCTGAATATTAAATGGCTGTTGTTGTAGTTGATGTTGTTGTTGTTGCTGCTGTTGCTTCATAAGTGTTTCATAATTTATTTATTAGCAGCAGAATAATTCATTTTGTCAAACGTTTAAGGAGCCGAAAGCACAGACACAAACGCGTAATTCGATCAAAAACAAATTTTCAAAGTGCAGTCTAGAGTTCGGGTTTCATACGGAGATCACCTGGGGGCAGCATGTGACGGAAATAAGTTTTGTTCTATTTGCGTTGCGTATCAATTCCCGGTTGGCAGCTGTTAGCTAGGGTATCTGGCATCTTGACTTTGTCTATTGCCTCAACTTTAAGTTTGTTGCGACACACGCGTCACACACGCACTCACACACACGCACACACACAGCAGTAGAGACTCGAAGAAGTGTAGAGCACGCGTGCAGACGTGTCGACGTTGAAAGAAGAACTGAACAACGCGGCAGCTGATGCGACCGTCCTTAAACTTCAGCGAACCGACTGCGACAGCGACAGCCGAAGCAGCGCGACACGAAGCGAACAACACGAACAAACGACAGTCACCACTCTTTCGGCGTCGGCTAAGCAGTGCACGGCCATGCACGTTCGCTCTCTTTTGCGCTCTCTTTGCCGCCACACGCTCTCCGGCCGTGCCAAACTGTTGATTCTTTTTGTTGAACATTTTCATTTGTCTGCGGACTCTGCCCAGTATATGTATATATAATTGTTGTAATGTGACAAATTCTTGATAGAAGTCGAGCCAACCGGCGGGCCGGGCTAACAAATTGCTTTGCATGTCATCAAAACTGAGAACGGCTCGGCCATGAAAATGACAATTCATAAACACATTAAGGCAAACATTCGACTGGAATGAGTGCGCCAGTGAGAGACAGCGAGCGGGAGAGCTGCGAGTATGAGTTGTGAAAAAGTGAGTTGATACTTTTTCGTGATGGTGCAACACAATTATCTTTCTGCCTGCCCCAATGAAGGTGCACAACAATTCAAGGTAAATGGGTCGATAAATTCAGTTAAGTAAAAGTGTACGCTAAGCTGCATATATATACTGAATAATGCAAGTACATATGTCTATATATATATATTAAATGTGTGTGGGAACAGCGCATACGATGAAAGAAAAGGTTGCCTTTTACATGTGTCACACTTTTTTTTCTCGAAGCATAATGAGTTATGCTTGGCTAAGTGAAAGGAAGGAAGGAACATAAAACAATTACTGTTATGCTTGCTGCATGATATTGTAATCTGATCGTTGCCATAATCATGTGAACAAGCAGGCGGCGGCTGCTCAAGCTTACGTAATGAACTTCGCCATGGCTAAATGCATAAATAACTTCCATATTCGGTTGAAATATGAATCTAAATTTCTTAGATTCTAAGCCGCTCTACATATTCAACATTTATTTGTGCAGAATTTAATTTTGAAAAGTTCAACTTAGAGAAATTCTAGTTTTCTCTTATAAAAACACTGAGCTACACACATTTAACCACTTGCCAGAGGAAATGTTTTCGTTTTTGTTTCAACATAATGAGAACTTTGTGTCAGCACTGCATAGAAATTGAAACAAAGCTTTTGTCTGGCTGTCAACATGAATTCCTGCTGCACTGTTTGTAGCTTGCGCCAATTAAAGCTTGGAATCCGGAGCAAATTATACTAACTGCAAAGCACACATGTTTTCCTACATAATGCCAATACTCCGGCCAGACACTGCCCAGCCAGATGACGGACTGCATTTGTGGTAAGCTGTGTCCGTCTGTCTGTCCTATCCGTCCATCGGGGAGCAGACCAAGATAAACTCGAGTGTACTTGCACTTTACACGACACGGAAATAAAAAGCCAGACAGTCAACTGGGAGCAGCGCTGCAGAGCTGCAGCCGAATGTGGGCAACTATGAAATTCTCAACTGGCTGGCGACAGTTTTTCTTCATAAACACACGTTTTAGTTTTCCCCAACTGACAGTTGGACTCATAACTTGCCAGGCCCTAAGTGTGATTCATATGTTGGGTCGTTATTTTGTGTCGTAATGGCCAAGGACTTGGCCTGACCGGCAGATGCTGGCCCTCGTAGGCTTTGCCTTGTCGCTCAACATATTTCGCAGCACTGCCGTCATAAACACAAAAGGTATTAAAATAAATACATATACAATGGCTAATAAAAATTTACATATATTTCTCCATTTGCCAGAGACTACATGGCCGTTGTCCTTGCCACAGAAGCCAAATGAAACACGAAATTAAAATGCCCACAAGCCACAGAATAAGCAAAAATTGCTTACGATTCGAGCTAACTGCAAAAGAGAAAGCATGAAATACAAAAGAAAATAGTCGACAAATGGAATCGCTGGGGATGGATGCTATGAATAGAGTACAACTGACAGGGCCTAATACATTTGGGTTTCAATTTTCAATCTATCCATTTATTATGAACAGTTCAATGGCGCCAAAAAAAAAGGAAGGCATCTGCCTACACAAGCTCAGGAAATGCGAAAATTGTGAATGTTCCAGCAAATATTTTGCATAGTTCTTTTTGCATGGCAAATTCTGTGTTTCAAATGTCGAACTTACCTGGAATTATTTTCTTATTTTTTGTATATTAATATTTTATATTATTTTATTTTAAAAAAAAAATTATATATATGTATATATATCATATATCTTAATAATCTAAATGAAAAATTCTAGAGAACTATAATAGAACTGACTAAAAAAATATATTTAAAATAATTATTTTTGTGATATTAGAAACGCACTCATTTCCGAATTTCTTATAGAGATATTACCAACTCCTTCATTTATTATATCTGAGCTCGCGTTTCTTCTTTCTCTCTTCTTATCTTCTCTTTTTTGTTTGTTAACTTTATTCTTTATCATTCCCAAGGTCTGCATCATCATTCTGCATGTCTTTCCTTCACTCTCTCTATGGAGTTTCAGAATATATCTGCATAAGGAAATCGCTAGCCTCATGGCAATCACAAGAAATAACAATTCTGTAAACTATATACATATATCTATTTTTATTAAATACTGTTTATATTATTTTTGGATTTTCTATACAGTTTCATATTTTTTTGCTCAATAAGATTTCTGAAATTCGAAATTTAAATGTTGCCAAATATATAGATCGATAGACGCGAACTCATACGGCACACACATGTGCTAATTTACATGTATATATGGGAAAGCTGAATATTGTTGTTGTTGTTGTTGCTGCCGTTGTGCCTGTGCTTTATGGCACAAATGAATCGGCATCTTTGGCATACTTCGGCCGCATTGCCCGCTGGCAATGGCTGGCAGAGTCTCCTTTGCCAGCAGCGCAGCTCCTGTTTTTCAGTGCATAATCTGTTTGCTTTGCACGACCCAGGAATTGTCTCTGTGTGTGTGTTCTGTGAATGCATTGAACCAGAAATATGTAGATATGCCAATAAGAGCGCTCATTGTCTTTCTCTCTCTCTTTTTCTGTATTCTTCTCTCTGTTTGTATTTCAATTTCGTTGTTTGTTTGTGATTTCAGCAAATGTGCAGGAAAATTGTTCAAAACGAAATCATTTTGACTTTAAAATATAAGCTGTATTCATGCGTATTGGCGTGTGTAGCTCAGGTCATGTTAATTTGCCTCCTGCTAATCATAAAGTCTCTTTAAAATAGCCATATCAATTGTCTTAGCTAGGCAGTTGTCATTGCTTGAGTTGCTGTCAGCTCGCAGCTTAAGTCCAACATTGTTTCAGCTCACTGCTTTGTTCGACTAGTTCGTTTGACTTTACGCTAAGGTCAGCTGCTAGTTGGTATTATAAATTCCTTTTTCTATATGAAAGTAAGGACCCAACTCAAGACACGAAAAGACTTGGGACTGCTGTCAATTGCTTATGGTAACAAGTCGCGGGTGCTGCCACAATGTCTGACGGCTTCAGCTTGTTCATGAATTATTTAAGAAATTAATTAACTAACAAGTTGATAAGGAGAGAGTGGGGGTCTGTTGAGCTGCGTGCCAGGCACTTTGGCTTGTCATAATGATAATGAATTTCATTGTTCAAGTTTAAATTTGAGCAGTGCTTAAGCTCTGTTTACTTACATTTATCCCAGAGTTTTTTTCCCTCGTTGGTTGAGGTAAGTTTTTGGTTAAAGGGGCGTATGCGCAATATTGTTGGCATTGCTATTGGCCTTAGCCCCTTAGTGAGACAAGTATGAAATTGCTTTTCAATGGTGAGTGACTCTTAAATACCCCACTCAATCAATTTGAGGCAATATATAACTGGCAGGCAGGACAAAAGGAATCACTAGCCACGGCAGCCTTCAGCTGCCCTCAATATCGTTTTTCTGCTCAGCTATTTGATTAGCCATGTGTGTGTGTTGATGTCTGTGTGTGTGTATATATGTGTTTAAGATTCTGTGAACTGTAAACTTGAGGACGATTATTTCCACTATTCAGGCAACCTAAGTAGGACCCATCCTCAAGACCATTCAATTCAATGCTTTTTTTTTGGGAAATTCCCATAAACGAGAATGCCTTAAAGAGCTCTAAAATGACATCTAAACAAAATTGTTTTTGATTTTTCTTGAGCGACATTTTGAACAGAAATATAAGCTGCTTCCATTAGCTAATGAGACAGGTGTAGGTTGGCTCCAAAGTAAGGCCATACGAATTGAAAAGGGCATTAATTATATAAATTAATTTAAACATATTGTCAAGGCTGAGCATTGTCTTGGCAAGAAGTATAGATATATTGACATTCGTATATAAAGGACGTGTTTAATGTGGCTCACAAAGCGACAGCTTGGCGCGCAACAAAAGCATTTTTGGGTTCTGCTTGGGAATGCTGCAATGGCAAAAGCTAATAAAAGATTAGCCGCAAAAGTGCGTTAAGATTTGACGCGCCTTCTTTGCCTCAAGTTGGCCAGGTGTGCGGCCACATGCCGTTGTCAACGTTGGTTTAGCTACGACTTGCTGGCCGGGCTGTAGTGGCACTTGGGTCTGGCGGACGGGCAGGAATTCCATTTACTTGCATGCAATAAAACAATTTAATTAAATTTTATGTGCGCCAGCGAGCCGAGTAAATGAAAACAAATAAACCACAATAAAGTGCAAGGAAGCGAAACAGCTGGCTGGCACTGCCTGCCGTTAGTCCTAGTCCTAGTGTGTGTCCTGCCTCGTAATTCAATCTCTGCCACACATAGAGCCGCTGTCGCTTGTCTGTCTCTGTTTGCATCTGTCTCGCCTTGTCCGACATTATGCTCATGTCTTTTGGCAATTATGATCTTAATGTCTTGTCCGTCTATTAGGCTCTGTCTGTCTCTCTGACTCTCTCACTCTCTCTCTCTCTCTCAATTATGAGCCACACGTTGTGCGCTCCTTGGCATTGTTCACTGGATTTTCAATTTGGCAAACTGTCACACATCATAAGCAAGTCCTAAGTAAATGCTAACTCATACGAAACTTGACTTTAAACGTTGCCGTTTCTCCCATGTATTTATGCACATTTTTCACACAGACATTTCCGGCAGCCCACACACACAGGCGAACTGTGGGCTGCTGTGATTTATATGTGCGTGTTTCTCACTTGAAAGTTTTTTACTTTTGGGCTCAGGTCAGGTCGTTGGTCAATGGTCCATTTGTCTTGTGCGTGTCTTGGCATAGATATTTTCGCATTTAAATGACCCCCAAAGCTTTGCATTTGCATTTAGCATGCCTGAAGTGCCACACTTTAAGTTAGTTCCATGATTATTATTAGTTGTTCAATGTGACATAAATCTAGATATTCCCAGCACATGTGCAATTAATCTTGATGTCATTGTTTGGGCCTCAATTAGCAGCTGTAATTACCTTTTTGAGTGTTGTGTCACAGTTAAGCTTTAAACACACGGAAATATTACGCATACGCCACGTGTCCCACTGGTAATGTACGAAATGTCAACGCGTTTGTTAAACGCCAAGTAATGTGATTTTGGGCGCAACAAATGGAGCCCACAAATGAGACAAGGCAATTAGCGAGGGCAACAATCAATGTTCAACTCGATGGAGGTGTGGCTGGGGGCAACGTGTTGAGTCTGGTCTGACAGGCACGTTCAAACTTTTTTCTTGCTTTTCTTGCTGTAAGAGCAAAGTAGAGTCGACGCCACTGAATTAGACGAGATTTGCTGCGTGTGGCACGTGTTGGAGTTGCTTGTTGTCTACTTTTATTTGCTTGGCAGCATCAGTTAATAAAAGAAAAGGTCGCCAGCCCAGCTAAGCTGTCAAATCCGCTCATTTTCGGTATTTTGTTTATTTTTGGCCCAGCAAGAAAATAAAACCTTTAAAGCCTGTGCTACCTAGCCACAGTTCAGTTTGCCTATGATGACTATGCACAAAGGTGATTGGAATTCCTCCGAACATATAGAAAATTGTTTAACTTGAACTCTTCTTGTATTCTAAAAGCATTTCATGAAACCCCAAAGGCAACTAAATACATTAATTTAGATAGTAAATCGTTGCAAAGAGCTACAATTTGCCACACATCTGGTTTCAGGAGTTGCTTTGTATGCCAAGATTAGAGTGGACCACACACTGAGCTAGCAATTACAACGGCCCGTGTGGCGAGGGTGGCTCGAAGGGTTGAGGGGATTTTTATTTTTTTATTTTCAGCATATTGCATTTTCTAGACTGTTGCAGAGTCAAAGGAAATTTAATTATCACCAGCAATCACAAGGGCTGCCAGGACTACCCCAGCATGCACATAGCTCTCGCTCAGACAGCCTACAATGCTGAAAGGCAAATTGCCATAGAACAGAGCCTGCACCGATCAGGTGGCCATCATGTGGGGGCGATGCATTTTGATGCGTGCGCAAAAATGACGCCGACGACAACAAGCACGAAAATGAGCAGGGCGTGACTGGACTATTAGCTGCCCGTGCAGCAGCCACACAGAGATATGGCAAGCAGAGTCAGCATCATCATCAACATCATCATTATCAACAGCTGCGTCGTCGTCATCGGGTTGCCAATGTACTTGAATGGAAGCTTAGGGTATTTGTAATGATTGAATTTGAATTGCAGTCAGCAACAACAACTGCAGCAGCAACAACAACGAGCATTTGGAAAATCTCCCATGTGGTAGCTTTGCTTTTTTTTGAGCTTGTTGTTGCTGCACGTTCTGTTTCCCTTCCTGTTCGCTGCCTGCTTTCCGTTATCTGCGGCGCACTGTGCACAGCTTTTCCTTGGCTCTCTGGCCAAGCGTTTGCTTAGTTCCTTGCCGCCTGCAGCGTCATTTTCTTTGAAAGCTGACTTTAGGCAATGGCCATGTCTTTTGCTGGCTTTGCTCTGAGAATTTCTCACTCAAAAAAAACATGAGCAAGCTCAAATTGACCCCATGCAAAAAGTTTTAAAGAACTGCAAACAATGAACAATTGATGCGTTTTAAATGTGAAAGCTGTAAACGAAGCTGCTTTGAAAAACGAAGACGAGTTCACATAAGAAACGCTGCCTTCTGAGACAACGAGAAAAGAGCTTAGAGCAAATGCAATAGAGATGTGGGTTTCGCTTTGCTGTTTGGCTACAGATTAAGTCTTAGATGTGACATAATTTATTGTGTGCTATTTTTTATAAATATATATTGAAGAAGTCATCTTTCGTCGTTTCATCAAATTTTTAATCCACGCGTAAGCTGTAAGCGTGGATTAAAAATTTGATTTTGGTTTTAAGGTAGGTGTCGCAGCAAACTGAGTATCGACTCTTTCTGTCTTGGCCTTCCAACTTGGAGGTTTCAAGTTGAAGCCTTTATATGTGCTCTAGCTGAGCTCTGTCCTGCGTCCAGCATTCACTTTTTTCAGCGAGGTCATAAGTGCCTTTTCAAACAGTTTCTGCCAAGGCGCTCCTTCCTACTATCTGTACACTAGACACAATAATAATAATAATAATACTACTAATAATAATAATAATAAAAATATTATTAATAATAACAATATGAATAAGCACAAAGAGCTGAGCTCACTTTGACTCAGCTTTCATGGAATCAACAATAAATTAAACTAAATTTTAAAAAAATTAAAAAAAAAAAACCAAAATTTCTTTGTTTCTATTGGGCAGTCAAAATTTTAAATTTTATTAAAATTAATATTGATAATGCTACCCATCGATCCCAGCAATGAAGTCGCCTATTCGTTTGTTGTGTTTGGCGCATCGGGTCGTTTGGCGCTGAGCAGAATCTTTCCGGCGCTCTGGCAACTCTATCGCGATAATCGTCTGCCCCAGGCAACCAAAATCTTTACATTCTGCCGCACCAAGCTCGAGCTTAAAACGTTTCGCATCAAGTGCGTGCCGTACATGGGCCTGGAGAGGGACCGCGATCCAATCTTGTACAATAGCTTCTGGTCCAATGTGCATTGCTGTGACGGCCAATACGACAACCCGGAGCACTATGCGAATCTTACGGCGGCCATGGTGCGCCAGGAGAAGAGGCACGATATGCGGTTTGCCAATCGCATATTCTATCTCGCTCTGCCGCCTGTCGTCTTTGACCAGGTGACCCTCAATATCGCGCGCAAGTGTCTCTCAGCCACCGGCTGGAATCACGTCGTCCTGGAGAAGCCCTTTGCCAGAAATGATATAACCTACAAAGTATATCAGACACAGCTCTGCCAGACGTTCAAGGAGTCCCAGATCTATATGATCGACCACTATCTGAGCAGACAAGTGATTCACAATATGTTTGTGCTGCGCTTCACCAATCTCATCTGGGCGGACACGTGGAACAACAAGCACATCGCAGCGATTATGATTAGTGTGAAGACCGAGCTCCCAGTGCAGGCGCGCGCTGAATATTTCAATCAGTTTGGCATCATACGCGACGTTATGACCAACCACATGATGCAGCTGGTGGCAATGCTCGCCATCGAGCAGCCGTACAGCAGCAACGTGGAGGACATGCGCGACGAGAAGCTGAAGGTGCTTAAGCAAGTGCTGAACGTCGATATGAGCGACGTGTTGCTGGGGCAGTACTGCAACAACGGCAGGGAGTCTGATCCCGTCAAGGTGGGCTACACGCAGCACTCCTACATACCCAAGGACTCGTTGACGCCCACCTTTGCGATGGTTGTACTGCACATCAATAGCAAGCGCTGGCGCAGCGTGCCCTTCATCTTGCGCGTGGGCAAGGCGCTCAACGAAACCAAGACGGAGGTGCGAGTGCAGTACAAATCGACGGACTGCAATCACAGTGGCAGCAGCTCGAGTATACCCAATGAGCTGGTGTTGCGTTTGTCGCCGCGCGAACAGCTCTTCATGCGCATGATGCAGAAGCGACCGGGACCGCACATGTGTCTCAGGGAAACGGAACTGGACCTGATCCTGCGCGATAGAGCATTGCCCATCAACTATCAGGCTCTGCTACTCGACATCTTTGCTGGCAATCAGATGATGTTCATGCGCACCGATGAGCAGTGCGAAATCTGGCGCATATTCTCGCCAGTGCTGGCCGCAATCGAGTATGAGCGCACGAAACCCATACTCTATGACTTTGGCTCTTGCGGACCCATGGCCGCATACGAAATGGCAGCCAGACACGGCTTTAAATTTTACCAATCTGACGAATGGCATGCCAGCCGGGGCAACCCCAATGCCGATCCGACCGTCTCTGAGAATTCCAAGAAACCAGCTGTAAATCGAGGTCTGCTAGCGACCCCAGCTTGGATGAATCCAGTCACGTAGGGTAGCGGAAGAAGCTAAGCTTTTGTCTAAAGTCAGTTTTAGTTATAGTCCCTTCTGGTATATATGTATATATATAGCAGATGCATTTATGTCATAAATTGGTTCAACGCAAATTTAATAAAATTTACCACGCAAAAGTTTTTTAATTAACCTCCTGCAGCAGCAGTTGCACCTCAATTGCCCAACTTTTGGCTTTCGAACTTGTGAACTTATCAACGCTTCTTCTTCATTTCGCAAAAATAACACGCATGATTTGGCCATTGTCCTTTGGCTAGCTCACTAAATATATACAGCGCAGTTTGTGTGCCAAAGGGTTGTGCCAGAAATTTATGATGCTCTAGAAATAAAAAGTCTTACAGACTGTGATGCATATGAATAGTTAAAATATGGAAATAAATTGTCAAGAGATACGAAATGGTCAAGAGGAAATTTATTATTTTTGTCTTGAATAAATTGTGAAAATTAAGATATTTATCAAACTAAATCTTGGACTCAAATCAAAGTCTTTGGAGTGTGCAGTTTGCATAAAAATATTTTAATATGTGTATAATCAACATTTAAGAAAAATCAAGTGATATATGAACACATATTTAAATTGAAGACCAAAGAAAAATGTACTGAAGAATTAATTCAAATTAATATAAAAACTAAAAGAAAGTACAAATAATATAATAAATTATTTGCACAACAAAAAAATAAATAAATAAAAAAATAAACCTGAATACAAAATATTTAAGAAAAAAATTGAAAAAGCAATTTACATAAAAAAATGCTCATAATAAATAATAATAATAAATAAATTAAATTGATAATATTTATTATAATTTGCAATTATATATAAAATAAATAAATGATATGAATAAAATTAAATATTTTAAAAAATTAGAAAATTAAATTCGCCTGATCAATTTATGTTCACCTTAAAAATTTTATAAATAAAAGATTCAGGCAAAATACATTTTCAATATCTCAATTTCAAGTTTAACTAAATATATTCCAAGTCTTTAGTAAACAATCTAGTTTTATCCTTGGTAAACAATCTCTGGGTAGTGTAACAAAAAGTGTTCTTAGTTGCTTGGGCTACCCTCTGATTAAATTTATTGTTTTACAGAGTATTGAATATAAATTTACCCTGGTCAGGCAGCAAAGTTGGCGCTAGTCCACTAGCTGGCAAAAGTTTGCAATAAGTGAAAAGCAGTTGATGAAGCAAAAAGTACAAGCACAGACTTGGAGAGAGGGTGATTGGGGAAAGGGGGGCGTGTGGATAGCCCAGCCAAGAAAGTTACTTTGATTTCTTAACGCAACTTTGGCTGAACTCGTATAGCTCACACGCCACACTTGGGTTTGTTTTTTATCTACAGTGTGTGGGTTTTTTTGTTGGTTTTATTTACTCGTTAAGTTTTTGTGGCCATTTGGTGTTGATGATGCTCAGCTATCGAGCGCTGTGCATATAAATAAGTTGAATCTGGCTAGTATATCCGCAGCTAATTAGCTTTTCTAACAATGCAAGCTGTAGATGCCATTTTTAGCTCGTTAGATTTCAGTTTAATTAGCAGATGCATTAAGATAGAGCAATGCCTCAAGCATATACAATGAGCTCTTAGCCAGATTGTAAATTGCATTGTAAGCTTGCCAGCCATTTAGTTTATAGGTCATCCGCTCTTCGCTTTGCCCACTCTTAGCAGCTCTTCTGTGTGTCGCCCGGGAGTCTGCTGCTGTTGCTGTTGCTGTTGCTGCTGCATATCCTTTGCCTTGTTCAACCACGCTTTTCGCATCCTTTGTTGTTATTTCGCTCGGCAATACGCACAAGCATATGCTTTATAGTTTTGGCCATGCTGCTGCCTTTCGCTTTATTTTTCTTACATTTTATTCAGCTTAACGAAAGGAAAAGGAAAAAGGTTTAAAAACATGATTTCAGTGCCTTTCTTCGTCTCTCTCTCACTCTCTCACTGCCTTTCTGAAAATTCCATGAGAAATTATTAAAAGCAATATTGTCGCCCACAATTGAGATGGCGTTGCAGATTGTTTATTTATTTTTGAACCTTCCCTTCTGACTCTCTTACCGTCAGACAGCTTTACAGCCCATTTGAAATCAATGAAATAAAATTTTGCAATACATTTTAAACGGGTTCTTCTCGGAAAATATTGAATGATTTCTTCTTAAAATTGAATAAAATTTAATTAAGTAGTGTAAGTTAATTATATTATAGTTAATTCCTCTTCGCTTCACTCAATTGCATTTGAAGCATGGTCTCTTAGGCTACCTCTGTCTCTCTCTCTCTCTCCCTCTCTGTCTCTCTTAAAGTGTCATACTATTTAATTTCACATTTCAGTTTTAATAGCACAAACTGAAACGCAAACAATACCCATCCTCCAGCAAACAGACAAAGGCGATAAAAAAGAAGACCTGGTTACACCTGGTAGTCCCTTCCTCTCTCGCCTTCACTCTCTCTCTCCCAGTCCTACTCGAGTCTGTCTGTGTGTGCTGTGTAGTGGCAAAAGGATTTTGTGTTTGAAAACCGTAAAGTGAAATTAAAATGGCTGGCTACGGCAGCTTTGCGGACTGACCAACTGAAGCGAATGGCCGGCGCGCAACACAAGGTAATCAAGAAACAAGGTAAAAAAACAGTGTGTATATATATATATAAATGGGCAGGGCTTAGTTTAGGGGCCATCGACTTCAACATACCTCTTGGCTATCTCTGCTGTTGTTGCTGTTCTTGCCGTTGTTTTTCCGTTCAAGTTACAACAGCGATTAAAGCAGTGACACTCCCGCACACAGGTTGCGGGCGAACACTTTGTGGTTTCTCCTTCCGGTGGCCAACGAGAGAGAGGTGAGTTTTTGGTAACATTTCAAATTGCTTAATTTACAAGCGAGTTGCAAAAGCAAAAGCAAAAGCCAACACGATTGCGGCGGGTTGTTACAGACACACAAAAAATAAAAAATAGTTAGCAAAATGTTGACTCGCTCTCAGTAGTTGCTGTGGATTCGTGGTTGTCGATGCTGAGACTGAGGCTGAGACTGCGGCTGAGACTGAGACTGAGGCTGTGGCTGAGACTGTGACTGAGGTGTTGGCTGAGGCTGAGTTGTCGCCTTATGCTGGCTGCCCATCAACAAAAAGCCCGTAACGAATTGGCCAGATTTTCACCGCTAGTCAGTTGCCATTCGAGTTGGCCAATACGAGGGGCAGCGCTAAAGAAAATCAGTCAATTATGATAGGAAAGCAGAGAAAGTTGATAGTATTTTTGAGTTTCTATTTAGCAAGATACAATTAGTATAGATGATATCATACTAAATTTTCACTGCAATATCAAATATTTGTATATTTCCCAGTTCTAATTGTGTCCAACTGAATTTTAAATTCAAAAGATTTCCTCCTTCTCTCCCTTTTTGCCTCACCCTCTCTCTCTTAACCCTCTATCAATGCCATGTCAAACTATGAGTTGATTAATAATCGAATCAGTCTTGCAATTTGTACTGATTCATAGTTTCCCCGTATGTTATGCCAACCCTTTGGGCTAACATCGGGCTTTAGCTACGTTTTTTCCGTCCATCTATCGTGTGATTTTTCTCATGCATTTTTCAGCATTTCCTTTTTGGTTTACATTTGCTTTCCTGTTACCGTTGGCCACAAAACTGACACTCGTTACATTGATAACGTTTCATTTCCTTTTTTCTTTTTTTTTTGGCTTTTTTTGTTTTGGTTTTTTTTCGCTTTACCCTCGTCGCAGCAGGCAGCACAGGTAATCAAGTTAGCAGGGGCTTGGACAGGAAAGGGTTTGTTAATTTTCAAGATATTGCAAAATAATTGCTTGTTTGTCCTGGCCAACGCAATTGACAGTTCTGTATAATCGGCGCAGATCTTTGCAATGCTGTCGAAACGGCTTTAAGATGCGCAACGAAAATTAAACTCAAACCTGAAGCACTCGCTGCTGGCTGCACTTTTATTTGCTGTGACAACGCACACGCTGCACGTAAAATTGCGGTTTATGGTACATATGCACTCTGGCCATATTCTGCACGACCCCGACTCAGACTCAGACTCAGACTCCTTAGCCGCTTGGCTGCACAAGCCACTCCCAGTCAGCTGTCTCTCGCTCTGTCTCTCACAACCTTTTGACAATGCATCTTCAATTTCAGTTCACTCTCCCTCGCTACCTCTCTCTCTCTTTCTCACTCCCTCTCTCTCTCTAGGTATGTGAAAGTGTTAAAACGTGTCATTTGATACGCTGCGATGCCGTAATATAAGCTAGCTGCTGGCTCCCTAGTGCCGCTTTTATGTACTCCAGCCCGATGTTGGCATTTTTCTATGCAAATAATGCGGCGTTCTATATTCATTTATTTAGCATAAATATTTATATATATGAAATGCGCGCAAATATATACATATATATATATATATATAAATATATATATATATATGTATATGAAGCACCTGAACTGAGCTTAGCAGCTATTTAACATAAAGGCAAAATAATTTCCACACTATAAACATTTTTACTGTTTAGTTTTATGGAAAGTTTTTCTCGTTTATTTTTGCTTTACAAAAAATGTATATTATTATAAGATTTGCTTTCTTAATGAAGAAAAAAGACTTTGCGCTGGCTTATAAAAATTTATTTAAGTGTGAATATTGCGCATGAAAATATTAGTAAAATTAATTCGATTATTTTCAAGAAACTTTTTGTATTATTTCTTTTAAATTTTCGATTAATAAGGAAAGCAAAAATAAAGGCAAGCGAAAAATATTGTCATTAAGAAGATTTTATTTATTGTTAGCAATGCTGGACTTTACTCACTATACAAGCCCGGCAAATGTGAGAAGGAGCGGTTCCTTTATATATTGATTAGAGTGTAAAGTCAAAATGAATAAAATATCAATTACATTATTTGCAGGGCAGGACAAACTACAATTACATTTTCAAGTTATATTATTTTATTTTTAATGAATATTTTTAATATACTAATAGATCATTTAAATGGCTGTCTTAATTCTGGTTTTAAGGCTTAAAGCGTAAAGTCCAATATGCATGACTCGCATGAGGAATTCTTTCAGTTAGGTCAGCGAAAACTCTTAAATAGCCATATTTATTTTCCCCGTTTTATACCAATCTCAATTGTATGGTAGTTCAAGATACAAATAACTCGACACAGG